TAGTTTTTCTGATATATTTCAAAAACATTTCACTTATAAAAAAATACGTCAGTGGAATTTTTTAATCTCTGCTATTTTCTCTGTAATGCTACACTTAACACAATCAAAGTCGAATTTCAAATTTCGTTCCGCTGTACGGTTAAAAAAATTCTCTTATTTTATATAATAGAGGTTTTGATTTATATTATACGTAATAAAAATTTTTATGCGTTATATAGTAGGTTGCAGATTCGGCATAACGACTTTATATACTGGAATCCCTCTCTAAAACATCCGTTATAAGAAGCCAAAATAAGTGGTATAAATAATGTATAAGTGGAAATTTCGCAATCATTCTCGAAATATCATCATCAATTTTTGTTCGTGTATTATTATTATTTTTTTGTTTGTTTGGATGGACTTTTTATTTGAGATGACGTAGGTTATTTGCAATGACGTTGCTTCACGTCATTGCAAATAACCTAGAAACGACAATTGGAAGTGTAATATAATAGAAATTGCGCTACTCTTCCTCCAGATTAAATGAGGAACATTTCAAAATTCCGAAATCTGAATCATTTTTTTTAATATATATATACAAAAGAATATAACAGCATTAATTACATTAAATGGTGTATATACAGAATATATGAATATAACTTATGACCTACTTGTAAAAAATATGCAATAATATTCCACATAAAATATCTTGATGTCGCAAAAAGTAAATAAAAGTATGGATGCCGTATAAAGTGTAATAATATTTACTTTATTGTAGCTGTAATTTATAAATACTTTTTTAAAAAATTCATTAACTTTTAAGTTATCATTTCTTGTGTGTTTGTGCTCTTTCTTCTGGATAGATCCGCGAGCGAGGCGTCATTGATAAAACGAAAACGTAATCGATCTTGAGAAACAGTATTAAAATGTCAAATAGTTAACAACATTTCCTGATTTCGCTCTCTCATATCTATATAGTCACAAAGTAAGATTATTATGTAATGGAGATAGCCTTGGATAATGATTAAAGTTATTGTGTCAGAAACTCGTAACTCATTTAAATAGACGTCTTAATTTGTTTAACTGGGCGAATTTTTTTAAATTAGTGAAATTTTGTTTTGAAGTAGTTCGGCTTAAATAAGAATATATTTATATTTGAAGTAGATATTCTTTGAAATTGCCATAATTAATAATTTGCGATATCTTCTTAAAATCTGAAGTGGGCGTTATTGTTAACCGATACTTAATCAAATAATAGTTTATAAACATTTGTATTTCGTAAAATGTGAAATTTGAAGTGTTTTTTCCCGTAATTTTTACAATATAGAACGTTGCAATAATTGTAAAAAAGGCTTAAATTGATGCATTAATCAAGTTCAATATATTTGTTTTTTTTTTTATTTAAAACAATTTTTTTATTATGATAACTCTACATGCTAATTGCTAATTTTTCTAAAATTTTCTTTTGTGATTTTCTAGTATTTACTTAAGGAATAAATTTTTATAATTTTTACTTTTTGAAGTTTTTTTTGTTTTATATTTGATAATGCAATATTACTTTGCTATTTATTGCTTAGGTATGCAATATTAATGTTAATGCAATTATTAATTTATATATTGCAATTATGAATATGAAGGGGAGGAAAAATATATAGATCAGTATTGTTAGTTATGGAAAACCTGAAAATTTCAGCACATTTTTATAGCCAGGGAAAAAAAACACTAAAAGTAACAGTGTGTTTTTGTAGATATAATAAAATGTTCTATGAAATATATGATTGTCAAAGAGCTATTTTTAAAAAATGTAAAATCTTTTGTATATGCTGTTTATAATTATGAAGTTCTATATAAAGTGCATTAGTACTTTTATATTAAAAACTATTAATTAAGTGTAATTTTTCCAGTGTTTATTTTCATTGTTTATATCATATATAGTCAATTATAGAAAATTATTTTATCTTTAATTGCATAATTTGATAGCTATATCATTAAAAAAGAATAATTGAAATAAAAATGCATCATAAATTGAACCATATTGCTCATTATTAATATAAGTTAAAAATTTTTATATTTCATTTTGTCCTAATTTTTTCCTGCTTTTGTACAATACATTATAAATAAGTAGGTAATTAGACTGACTTCTATTTTCCAAATAAAGAATTAAATGAGATCATTTAAAATGTAAACAAAACCTTGTTTGTTTTTGTAATAAATATTTAAATTATATGTGATAATTTTAATTCTCTAAAATATTTCAGAAATATGTTTAAATTAAAAAAATATTTTAAACTTTTAAGTAAATTATGTAATTTTTTTTAAATTTAAACTAAAAATATAAATGTTTGTTCTTTATAATTAATTTACTATTTGGTTATTATTTTCATTTTTGAGTTTGTAAATATAAACAGCAATATTAATGTGTATAGGTATTCCTTGCTTAATGCAGGTTTTAATTAATGTGGCTTTAATGGCTGTTTTTACATAGACAATGTTTTCTCTGCAAATAAGGTGTTAATGAATTTGCTATTTTTGTTTTTTAACATAAAAATATTTATTCTTAACTGAAAATTTGTTCTAGCGGGTGTTGATTGTTTGGTTGAGTTCCAAAGTACCGTACAACTGTACTTGATTTAATGTGATTTTGATATATGCGGTAGCATCGAGGGATTAATTACCTACATTAATCAAGGGATACCTGTATTTCTTAATTGTAATAAACTATAAGAAAAGAAAATTATTATTGAGCTATTTGTGGAATATGAATAATCAGATAATTATTTTATAAATTTTACTGAGGATAGAAATTAAACTGAATATAAAGTTGCTGTATTCAAATTTAAAGACTCTTGTTAGTCTATTTATATCAGAATATGTACTTTAAGAACTTTAATCTGAAGGATAAAATATTTCATGCTGACTAGCATAAATCATTCATTTAGTTTAATATTACATAAATCCCACTTGTACTAATAAAATTTTGTTTTATTTATTTAGGCTTACTGCCATATCTTGTAACTTAATGATTTTAAGAATTTAATTCTAACTTAAGCTAGAAAAGTAATGACTTAAATAGGATCATAATCCAGAACTTCAGGATTATGATGATATATTTAATCATTTATTTGAAAAAACTTTTTGATAATTTAGTTTAAATTTTTTAAGGACCATCATTGATTATTAACCATCTTTTGTCATTTGCTATATAATAATTTCTTATTTAATCAATATTAATATATTGGTGATGTTGAAGATTTGTTGTTGTTAATATATTTATCTGATATGCAAAAATTAGATAAAATGAATTTAAAGAAAAATTCTTTATTTCCTAGATTTAATATGAAAATTAAATTTTCAAAAAACTATTGCAGCTTATTGACATTTATTAAATATATTAATAAATATTTTTCATGGTCAGTTTTTCTATATTTTAAACATTTTTATATATTTGTAATCTGATTATTTTTTTCACATGCTTATTGTCTAGTTTAAATTAACCAAAATAATAATTACTAAATTTTAATTGCTTTATGAATAAAGATAATAGGTTTCTGCGTTTACTACTTAAAAAATTTCTATCAACAAATTTAATTTGGTTAAAAATAAAATGTTTAAATGAGCAATATTAAGAGTCAAGGTAATGTTATTGTGAAGTAAAATCATAACTATATTAATGTACAAGAATGAGAATGTGTTAATTTTGAATTATTTCCTATTTAATATATTTTTCAATTCTATTTAGTGCAATTTTGAAAATACTTACCATCATTCTAAATGATACCTTAAATTATTAATTAATTGCTCTGGAAGAAGGGATGATCATATGAGTTTGGGTAACATAACTGGCAATGCAACAGCATGGCAAGCATGGACTTGAATCTACAACTCCTGCTCTGGATTCTGATTATTCTGAAATAAGTTAAACTTAATGATTAGAAAAATTAATTTTTAATTAAGAGATAGCTTACCTTTAGACAAATTGCTAACAGTCTATCTCTAAACAAATTTCTTTGGTTTTGATTAAATAGCCCTAAATATAGCCTGATAAAATTCAGTGGACCATTTGCAAATATCTTAAAGCTAAAAAAAAAAAAAATCTTAAAATTTGGTCATAATTGATTTTTCTGAAAATGAAATCTTTAAGGTTACATTTTAAGACAATATGTTCATTGAATATATACATTCATATTATAATTTTACTCTGACTAATGTTAATGCATGATTTATAAATAAGGAAATGAGATTTTAAATTTAAGTTTTTAAGTGAAGTCTATTCTATTGGCCTTGTCTAAGATTTTTATGGTACCTGAGACTTAATACATTTAAAATGCTCCTAGGCAAAAATGAAAAACTGACTTCTTTTCAGTATATAAAGATAATTTGATCCTTTTTTTCCCATAGATAAATTTTAGAGAACTTCAATTAAGTACTTGTTCAAAACTTTGAAATTGATTTTTTTCAAAAAGAACATATCTTAATCATCTTACTTGCTCTTAAATATTGAGTATTCTATTTCTGAATGCTTGTATTATTGAAAACTTAATCATTTTGAGGTAACTGAGAATTTCTTGTTAAGATCTCCGCAATAGAATTTTTACTAGCTTTTAAATTATATGTTTTGAAAAAATTAGTAGCTGTAAAAATGCTACAGAAGAAAGTCAAATTTCAGTTAAATTTAATACAAAAAACTTAGCAGAATGGAGAAAGTTGAAGTTAATTATTCATATTAATAAATTTATTTAACAATATTCTAAGTAATTAATAAATTATTTAATTATTATAGAGATGCATTAAAGTTGTTAATGTATTTAATTATTCTGTATTAATGGAACTTAAATTTAGTTTATTGAATTCTTATGCTATGTAAATAATTGAAATTTATTACTACAATAGATTGACTTTTTTTTAAGTTTTAGGTTTTTCTACACACTTTTTTTTCATAATTAAATTTAATAAAAGAATTTTTGCAAAATTTATTTAATTAAAAAGTGTTATAATTATACAAATTTTGTTTGAATTTTCAGACTTGTTGGTTTACCTGTAGAAGTGTTAAGGAAACGAGAATTAAAATGGTTAGAAATGTTGGAAAATTGGGAACGTTTCATGATCAAAAGATATAAAAAGGTAATTGTGTGTGTGTGTGTGTTAGTTACACCACAAAGAAAATATAATCAAAGTCAATGTAATAATTAAAATTGAAAATTAACTTCTTAATTATTTGTTTAGAAACTGTAAGTTATTATTAATTTTGCATAATATAATATTTATAGACATTTATTTTAATTTTCTTAGCTGTTTTTAATTTTTAAATTAATGTTTAATAGGTGCGTGATCGTTGTCGAAAAGGAATTCCACCGGCTCTTAGAGCCAGGGCTTGGCAATACTTATGTGGAGGAAAGTATTTAATGGAAAATTATAAACACAAATTTTTGGTACAGTTATTTTTTTCTTAGTAATGTAGAACAGTCATGAGCAACTTGTGGCCCCAGGCTGAGAAGTCCTTATATGCATCTCTAGGACATTGGCAATATAATTTTATTTTTGTTTTCTGCCTTGTGCTATTATGCAACTCTCATTAGGCTGATATCTATGACAAAGAACATTCAAATTAAACTTGACCAGTGAAGAGCTGACAGTAAACTATGCATTACTAGTGTGTATATCATTAGCTTATATCAGGTTGGCAACCTTTCAGCAGTGTTGTGCCAAACCTAAGTTTGTGTTATTCTGGATAACAACATGATTCTACCAGTTTTGTTATATATATGTTATGGACCAAGTGATTAATACAGGCATTATGAATAATGACGAATAAAATCGGGCATTGTAATAAATTTCAGGTGTTTTAACATAATTTATCAAATTGACTGATCATTATGAATACTGCTATCACCTAGTTGGGCAAAGTGATAACAATATTTTTGAGGAGTGATCATCCGAGATGCTAGCCAATCAGCACTCATATCTGAGTTGTGTGGTGCATATTGCATTTAGTACTGAATTTTAAATTTATGTGGCCAGTAGTTAATCTTGTGGGACATCTTAATTTGATTTAAAAAACTCCACTTATTTCCTGATTAATCACCTGGTCCATAACATATACAACAAAATTGGTCTGGTTATAATGGACTTAAAAATATATAATTTTGAAGTTAAGTTGTTAATTCAATTATGTTTTTACATGTGAACCTCATGAACAACACATAGATAGCAACACAGAGTGTAAACACATGCGCTGTAACATAAATATACAAACAAGAGATTTTGTTTTTAATGTACCATAGCCAACACTGAACTATGGCTTCCCTTTAACTGTGTAATTAATAATTAAAATATGATTTTTACCCATTTCTATTCAGAGTGCCACTGAAAATAGTCCTGTGTGACACATTCCATAGATTTCTGACTCCTGGCATATATTATTTTAGTACCTAGTGTACTGATGGTTATGAAGCATTTGGTACTTGGCAGACTTAAAACCTGATACTTCATAATAAAAAAAATGCAAGCAGCTTGCTAGAAGCCTATAAATTTTATGGCCCTATCCATAAAAAGTTGCTCATCACTAATTTAAAAGCTATAATGTAAATTTTCTTAAATGTATAGTTTAAAAATTTCATAAATTATTTTAAAAGGAGTTGGATACACAACCAGGAGATCCTAGATGTGTAGATGATATTAAAAAAGATCTTCACAGACAGTTTCCTTTACATGAAATGTTTTCTAATCGGCATGGTCATGGGTAAGTCTTTAGATTCACAAAACATTACTATTTTGAGTAAATATAGTGGTTCATTTCATTACATAATAAATGATCAAAAAAATTTTCATTTTTAAATGTAATGTTTAATTCTTATACTCAATGTGTTTCAAAGTTATTAACTAAATTTTTTTCATTAAAATATTTTTTTTATTTACACTATCAAATGGATAGTGTTTGAATTAAAACAGATTTTAAAATAAATTTTTATACACTCTTTTGGTTTTATACCAATGAAAAGACTTGAATAATAAATAGAATGAAATTTTAAATGTAAGTTTTAATTAAACATTTACACAGTTAGGAAACCATCCTAATTTAACTATTGTATCTTTATTTCTGGGTTTATAAACAAAATCAANTTGAAGTTTAATCATTTCTAAATAAATGCAAATTCAGCATTGTTTGTCTTGTATAGACAATGCTGAATTTAGCAATGTTTAGACTGATGATTTTAATAAAATTTTTGAGAATTCTGTTTCAATACTCAGTACTCACTAATTTTCATACCTAATTTATTTTAAAGTTTAAAAATTAGTGATTATATAAATTAATTTTTTTTTCTAGCATTAAATAAGAATGTAATAAATGTATTCAAACTTCTTATTCATGAAAAATTATTAATTTATGAAATATACAGTATATTCCTTTTCAGTTTAACTCTGATTCAATTGTTGTTGCAAACAACAGTTAAATATTTATCATTTGTGTTATGTATAAAGAATTTTAAATATTGAAACTTTCTAAAAATAGTATCTAATGTTTTCTTTTATACAATTTTTATCAGAGATAGAAAGTAAAAGTTCAATGCTTAGAAAATTGCATGTTATGATGAACTGACCATTTTGCTTATTGCAAAAAATAAACAGCATAAAATGAAAAATAACTATTTTTATATATTGAAGTTTGAAATAAGAGTTAACTTAAGCATAACTACAGTTTATTATGTATTTTGAATTTTTCTCATCATTAAAAAATGATTACTAACTAATCCAATAATCATCCATCTGAAAAATTAAATTTTTTTATTTTGAGCATATTTTCAATGTCACATCAAAGTCAACTTATTTTCAAATGAAAACCTATATTTTTGTAGCAGCAGCTGAATCTACATGAAATAACAAATAACTTTGCCTGAAAGATTTTTCTGTTTATCACTTACTTTTGATAACATTTAAATTTTAAGTATGTTTTTATTAATACATGTATGATGATTGTATTGTAGACGGTTTGATAAACCATATTTATCCTCTTAACTTTTTTAAGAACAATGCTCTGAAGTTTGGAGAAATAATTTATTTTTTCTTTTTGTCAGTGGGGTGGGCTTGAGTCTCTGTAGCTATTTTTTTATATCAGCCCAATGCCAGGGATTAGATCTGTGTAGTCAAAATGCTCCAGGAATTTTTCATAGGATATGTCCCTCATCACCCAGCCATTGAACCCATGATGTCTTAGTATTTCATTTGATTCTTTCTACCCTGTAAAAAGACCAAAAAACTACACAATTGTTACAGCTAGTGTACATTAATGCATATTTACTTAAAGATGTATAAAAAAAAATCTAGATTACGTCATTGCTGTGACATCATCTAGTAATGTACATGCCACCCTAAAATATCAGTTGCATTTCTATAAATCAGTTACTATCTATCTACTTTCAATTTGATGATTTACATGTAGTGCCATTTATTGACAAAAAATTTAACAAAATAATAAACTAAATATAATTCTTATAAAAAAAGAATATAATTTAAAAATATATATACTATATTCACTTAATTACTGCAACAATGATATAGCATGAAATAGATGCACTCTATCATTATTGATTCAGGTAGCATGTAGCACTTGCCTTTGTGGAATTTGAAAATGTTACCCTGTGGAAAGTCTATAGTAAGTATATAAATATTTAATTTTCCACATCTAATGACTCAGGTTTTTTCATTTCTGAATGTACTTTCTTAATTCTAATAAGTGCCTTCAGTAACTGAGAGGATAAAACTACAAACACTGGTAGTTAGTTAGTTATGGGTTAGTCCTGGACATTTTTTAAATAGAATATTTTTTTATGATTTTACTTTTTAAAGTACAATGTTTAGAATTTCAGTTGACTAGGACACATTTTGGCATTCTTCATTTCTAAAACTGATTTATCTTCATTGCTGCTAATGTTTTAACATATTCTTGGTATGTATTCTTAAATAGAAAAGCATACAAAGACTTTACTTGTCTTTGTTTTCTCCATTTTTGTAAAAATAAAAAATATTTTAAAAATTTTACTATAATATACTTAATGACTTGAGTATCCATATTTTTTCTTTTAAATTTTATTTAATTTATGTGGCCAGTAGTTAATCTTGTGGGACATCTTAATTTGATTTAAAAAACTCCACTTATTTCCTGATTAATCACCTGGTCCATAACATATACAACAAAATTGNTTTAAAAATTTTACTATAATATACTTAATGACTTGAGTATCCATATTTTTTCTTTTAAATTTTAATTTTTTTAGTCACTTTTAAAAGCAAGTTTATTGAAAAATAATTGTAATCTGTTTTCTCAATGTTTTGTAATTAATTATCTTTTGTTTTCAAACTAAATAAAGTGATAGGCTTTAACTAAAATTTTTAATCTTTTACATTTTAAAAGTTTTGATGTTGCAGTTTTTATTATAACAAAATTTTTAAAAAATTAACTGGATGTTATATCACATTTTAACAATCTGATAATTTGATATACTAATGTTTAAAATTTTTTACAGGCAAGCTGATTTATTTCGCATATTGAAAGCATATTCAATCTTTAATCCTGCAGTAGGATATTGTCAAGCCCAAGCTCCTATTGCTGCCACTTTGTTAATGCATATGCCTGCAGAGCAAGCATTTTGGTGCCTTGTTGCTATTTGCGAAAAATATGTTCCTGGTTATTATAGTCCTGGCTTAGTAAGTTAACTTTATTTTGCTAACATTTTGGTATTATCTTCATATTATTTTTTTAATAAAAATTCATTAAAGCATGTATTTACATAGGTAAAAATATGTATTAATATATGCATCAAGAATCTTGAAGGCTTTTTGAAGTTTAATCATTTCTAAATAAATGCAAATTCAGCATTGTTTGTCTTGTATAGACAATGCTGAATTTAGCAATGTTTAGACTGATGATTTTAATAAAATTTTTGAGAATTCTGTTTCAATACTCAGTACTCACTAATTTTCATACCTAATTTATTTTAAAGTTTAAAAATTAGTGATTATATAAATTAATTTTTTTTTCTAGCATTAAATAAGAATGTAATAAATGTATTCAAACTTCTTATTCATGAAAAATTATTAATTTATGAAATATACAGTATATTCCTTTTCAGTTTAACTCTGATTCAATTGTTGTTGCAAACAACAGTTAAATATTTATCATTTGTGTTATGTATAAAGAATTTTAAATATTGAAACTTTCTAAAAATAGTATCTAATGTTTTCTTTTATACAATTTTTATCAGAGATAGAAAGTAAAAGTTCAATGCTTAGAAAATTGCATGTTATGATGAACTGACCATTTTGCTTATTGCAAAAAATAAACAGCATAAAATGAAAAATAACTATTTTTATATATTGAAGTTTGAAATAAGAGTTAACTTAAGCATAACTACAGTTTATTATGTATTTTGAATTTTTCTCATCATTAAAAAATGATTACTAACTAATCCAATAATCATCCATCTGAAAAATTAAATTTTTTTATTTTGAGCATATTTTCAATGTCACATCAAAGTCAACTTATTTTCAAATGAAAACCTATATTTTTGTAGCAGCAGCTGAATCTACATGAAATAACAAATAACTTTGCCTGAAAGATTTTTCTGTTTATCACTTACTTTTGATAACATTTAAATTTTAAGTATGTTTTTATTAATACATGTATGATGATTGTATTGTAAACGGTTTGATAAAACATATTTATCCTCTTAACTTTTTTAAGAACAATGCTCTGAAGTTTGGAGAAATAATTTATTTTTTCTTTTTGTCAGTGGGGTGGGCTTGAGTCTCTGTAGCTATTTTTTTATATCAGCCCAATGCCAGGGATTAGATCTGTGTAGTCAAAATGCTCCAGGAATTTTTCATAGGATATGTCCCTCATCACCCAGCCATTGAACCCATGATGTCTTAGTATTTCATTTGATTCTTTCTACCCTGTAAAAAGACCAAAAAACTACACAATTGTTACAGCTAGTGTACATTAATGCATATTTACTTAAAGATGTATAAAAAAAAAATCTAGATTACGTCATTGCTGTGACATCATCTAGTAATACTTGAAACAACTTAGTATATGATGCTAGTCTAAATTTGAAAAAAAATGCATAGACTAGTTACAGTCACTGTGTAGATTGGACTTTATTCAATTGCAAAGTCAAAGCAGTCATGCCACCATGCATATAATTTTCATAAAAATATTCAAATTTTTTGACTATATACAGGTAGGCCTCCTACAACGCGGTACCTTTACAACGTGTTTTCACTCCAATGCGGTTGGAAAAATGCAGAAATTTTCTTACAATGCGGTTTATGGTATTCAGAAATGAATTATCTTTCACATAACAGAAAAATCACAATGGATCACATGATACGAGCCACATCTTGGCATACAGAGCTAAATGTCCTCGAAAACAGCCGTTTGTTGACATTGGCGTGTTATTCCCTGGAAAGTTTCAGGGGAAGACCGGTTTCTAGAAAGATGTGCATCAGTTACCGTAAACACTCAAATATATCACTAAATTTTTTATCATTTATATTCTTTCAATAAGTGGAGACTGTAAAAATGGTCCAAAATGCAGTATAAACTTCTATTGGGCGTATATTTTAACATAGTAAAGTTATTTTTTGTGATTTTTACTGTCCACAAAACTGATTGAAAAAACTTTAGCCATAACAATGCCGAATGAAAAGAAAGCACTGTCGTTAAAAAGGAAATTTATAATTCTTCAAACAAAGATAGAAATTTTGGATCAAATTAAAAATCAAGAGTGGATAGCTGATAGTGGTAGGCATTTTAATTTAAATGAGTCGACTATTCGGTCGATTAAGCAATCAGGAGAAAAGATTAGGAATTTGGTCGCATCCTGATTATCTATCCTTGCAAGAAATGTTGCTCGTCTGAGAGCACCTATAATGGAAAAAATGGAATTAGCACTAATATTACGGGTAGAAGATATGAACAAGAAACGGTTGCTTTTAAATAAAACTGCACTTAAATATAAAGCCTTAAAAATATTTGATTATTTAAAACAATGGGACAGTCGTCAGCTGATGAAACCAGTGTTAAATTCGTGGCTAGCAATGGTTGGTTTGAAAAATTCAAAAAACACCATTCAAACACCAAGTTTTTCTCTTTTTAGAATTGAATCCCAGTTTTTGTATTAAGTTGGTGGCAATATGATATATAATTTTAATTTGAAGGATGTGAATTTGATTTATTAGACTGGCAAAAATATTGAAAATGCATATGTGAGTGACGAACTCGAGTAATTACTTCTGTTAGTCCGACAACGGTAATTCGCTCACGAGTCAGGAGATAGCCGTTCAAGGTTATTACCCCGTAACAACGGGATGCGTTTTCTAAGAGCGGTAAAGGAGGTGAGAGGGTCGTCAGTTTGGCTTAGGCGATATTCGAATAGACAACACCCAAAATGCAAGGAAAATGAACATTTAATAATCCATTTAGACTAAATACATACAGAGCTTTGGATACGCTATTCTAATTATATTCTTTTGCGTAGTACCGAGAGAGAATTTACATGGTCAGCGATCATACCTCTGGACGAGTTCAAGTTCGTATTCGTCGTTCAACCAGGTACGGCGATCGGCGTTCATATCGGATTCAACCAGGATCGGCAATACAGACGATGAGTTGGGTTGATCGAGATGTGATTGGATCGGGTGTAGTTTGTGAGAGACTTCTCCGACCCCCGTGTCGGATAGCAACCCCCTTTTTATATGAGGGATCACATGATTACAATTACCAATCGTACTTATTGGTGGTGACTGTCATCAGAACTCCGGTTGAGAATCCGGTGAGGGAGGAAGTAGTTTCCGGCAGAAGAAGGATGAGCATCCGTTTAAAGATTTTGATAAGATCGCGTACGGGGTTCCATAAAATTTTATGTGGCTAGGCCTATTATTCGGACCCTTACACATATATTAATGTAGGAAAGAAGACAGAATGACAAATTTTAAAAGTTAAAATTTGTTGTTTTAAAGTCAAAAAAAGAACTCTTCAGATATTAAATGAAAGATTTGCCAAATCTATGTCCAGAGCATGGGATATTTTAGGCAATTTATATTATTTTAATTGATCTCTTCATAGGAAATATTAAGATACAGTTGGAGATGATAAATTATATTGAATTATATATAAATTATGATTTTTAACTTTCTAATGCAATTTTTATATTGTAATGGCTAACAACAAAGTTATTATTAAATGTTTGTATTAAAAACTTCATTAAAGCATGAAATATACTTAACAGTATGTGCATTTTTATAAATTAAAATTTTTACTGTTATTATTATTGAATATATATATTTTATTTTAATGATTTTAGGAGTCCATCCAATTAGATGGTGATATTTTGTTTGGTCTGTTAAAAAAGTCCTCTCCTCTGACATATAAACATTTGGTAAGAAAATTTAAAAATTTTTTGATTATATTTTATGAAATGTTTTTTTTTTTTTTTTTTGAATAAATAAAATAAACATTTACTTATATTTTAGTTAAATGTTAGATTATAATTAATTATAATATCTCAAAAGAAAAAAACTTAATATATAAATTTTATAAGTATAAAATTTATTAATTTTCATTTAACTTGCTGATTAATACACGTACTCCTCACTTTACGACCTATCTGCTTAACGACCACTCACACTTATGACCAATTGAGTTTCGACCTACAATTTGAATCCCCTTTCCGAGTGTCGGTCAGTGGCGAATGATGACATGCGCACTGAGTGTACTATAATATATAATAGGCTTGTTATGTGCTTTTTCAGTCAGTTTCATTCTGACAAGCAGTCACTGTGTAATCTCATTTTTTTCACATATTTGTAACCCCAAAATAATATAGATGTCGACAAAAAGAAAAAGGAACTATGGATTCAAATACTGAACATTTTAATAAAGTTGAACATGGGATGAGTGAACTTTTGAAGTGCTATAGAGAAATTTATCAAGAATATAAGATTACAAAGCAAACCACACTTAAGAGTTTCTTTTTGACTGTTACATCCAGGATCTCTGCCCTTGAAGATACCTCTTCTATTTCATCATCGTCATCTCCCTTACCTGGACCCTCTATAGCTCCAGATAACCAAATAAACAAATGATATGTACATATGCATGTCTTTTTATGAATAAATTTGAATTTTGTTGCATAATTTGTATAATTTTACAATGATCCTATATTCCCGGCACAAGCTCCTCGCTTAACGACCAATTCGCTTAATGACATAGTTGTTGGAATGGAACTCAGTCATAAAGTGAGGAGTACCTGTAACCTCAATAAATCTTTTTTAATCATTTTATATATATAAATGAATGAATCAATTAATTGTTCATTTCATGAAATGATTTACATCAAAAAAATTCATTGAATTTTTAAGTTTTTACTTTTAACCACTATTTTACTAAATGTTAATGTTGAATTTTATATATTTCTTAATATGATTACAGTAAAACTTCTCCAACTCAAAGCTCCAAGGAGCAAGAAAACTGAGCTACAGACGATTTGAATTAGAGAACAATAGAGTACAAAACTAGTACAAAACTACTGATTCTGAATAGATTTGTACTTTTACCTCTGGTTGCATTATATAAAGAATCATCATTGTTGTTGTTGTTGTTTTTTTTTTTCTTAGACAGTCCATGTAATAATGTCTTTCAGCAAAATGTTCAATATAACTAATGGAATCAAATAATTTGCAGGTACATTTTGTTGAGATAAAGTGAGATGACCTCTTGTTATGGACTGGAATATTTTCTGAAAATTTGTGTTGGAGAATAAATACAACTAACTGGAAATCCAATAATTAGGATCACTTTGGATAGAACAAATGTTAAAATTTGAGTCAAGGAAGTAACATAAATCAATGTTGGGGAACCATGAAAAACTTCAAGTTGGAGAAAATTTGAGTTAAGAAATCTAAGTTGGAGACATCAAATCCCTATGCTATTCCATTGAGATCTATTGAGTGCTCAGTTTCTTCAAGTTAACCAATCTGCAGTGATCAACAGATATACCCATCAAGGGTGGTCACATGGCACTGGAGAATGACGTCTATATCCGCAAAAAAATTTTGTGGATATCGCCAAAAACTAGCCAAAAACTACTGCGAAAAAATTCACATAAAAAAGGAATTATGTGACAATAAAAAATTATTTTTCTTTACTAGACATAACTGTTTAAAAAATTTTTTCCAAAATGGAAACGAGAAAAATGCGTGGGAAAATTCTTAAAAAATTTTCCACATTTATTCTCCACTACATCGTGATAATGCCATAGCTGACTAACCCATTGTACAAAGGTTAAAGAAATATTCAAGTTAGACATTTGAATTAGGGAAGTTTTACTGTATTTCTCTTATAAAAATTGGTGATAATTTTTTTATGCTGCTTATAAGTAAAAGAAAGAAAAAAATAAATATTTAATGAATGTATGATTGTAATTAATATCAGTAAAATGTTGTTTTAAAGATTATTGTCTTTAAGAAAGACAAATGAATATGGAATAAGCTTTCAAAAAATTTTTAAAATATAGATTAGATTATTCTTATTTGTTTGCATAAAATATAATATTTCAGACTGAAAAAAATTAATTTCTGTTTAATAAAAACAGACAAACACAGTGGAGTGCTGTTTACACAACTCTCAAAGGACCAGATCAAAAATTTGTGACCAAAAAGATATATAATCAAAACTTAAGTTAAGATGCACCACAAAATGACAAAACGAATATGTCATAAAAACTCACAATTACAGCTTTTAATAATGTGTTAATGTCAAGTTTTTATTTTACTTTTTATAAAATAATAATTAAAAAGCAGTAAATTTTTATTGCACATATTTTATTCATCAATTATATGCATTATGTGTATTGTTTCACTGATTAGTGCAATTTGAACAAAGAGAATTGCAGTAATCAGTGGGACAATAGACATAATGCATATACTTGATGACTACCACTACATTCTAAAGTGATTTTTCAATTATTTAACACTGTCGTTGAAAAAAATACACCAAATATACAGATTGGTTTTTGTAAAGTATTTCATTGTTAGACATAAATTAAGAATAAAGTTTTTTTTATTTTGAGCAATATTTATGGAATATGTAATGACATAAAAGTTAGTCACTAGCACCTACTGGAGGATAGAATAATGAGAAACCATTAAAATTAAATATATCTTGAGAAAGTAAGAAATCAATACAATATAATCTGTAAAATGTTTCTTACATTTCCAGATAGTAATAAATAATATCTGAAAAATACTTTATGTGCAATTACTGTACTATTAATTGTAATAACATAAAAATGTATAAAATAGAAAATTTAATTGTAAGACGTATTGTGGAACATTATTGTGTTATAAGTTATGCAAATACTATTAATTTGAATATGAGAGTCAACGTAGATGAATGCTGGGATAGGCTAATCAAATATAAAAGCACAGATAATGTTAAACGAAATAACGACTGAAGAGGCTGTAAAGTGAAATGCATTTGGTAAATATGTTTAATAAATTAAAAAAGTGATTGACTTTAATTCTCTCCACTTTGAGTGTCTTTTAGTTCATTCGAAATCGGAAAAAAATGGAGTAATTTTTAACTCGTTAGTTTGGGAGATATTTCTAAGTATCTTTTAAGCTTTTTAATTTTTTAAATTTATTAAAGAAACCAATCCCATTGCTTTTATTTATATTTATATACACTTTATGTGCAATTTACTAAAAACACCCATTTTTTTGAATGACACACAGTTGCATAAATTGCCAGAAAAAGTGTTAAGATTCTAGTGACACTGGTAATTGGTGTTATATGGCCCTCTTCAAACTTTATTTTAGAATGCCCTTTAAGAATTGTTAGAACACAAATTACAATTCCTAATGATTCTAGCATTCTAGTTCTATGCTAGAATTATTAAGACTTGTACTGTACATTGGCATAGTTCCTGAAAAAATCATTTTTTTGCTTCTGGATTATTTTAACTGTTTTATAGTATAATACAATATAGGGAATGATTATAATTTATCATTCCTTATTAACAAATAATTCTTTCTCTGAGAGAGAACCTGATGACGTCAATTTTATACTATTTAATTAGAGAGATTGGAGGAGAGGGGTGTGAGAAAAGAATAAAATGTATTCTAGGAATTATGAGTATACTTTCTTTAGAAATAGAGATATATTGCCTATTTCAGAAAAGCAAGAACATATAAATGAAATTTCATAATGAATTTAGAGATATAAATGAAATTTCATTATTGATAAGAATAGAAATGATTTATTGATGTTAAATATAACTTAATGTAAAATGACTTTGTGTGTTTCACATTTATAACAGTAATAGTGCTCTTGTGTGTGTGTGTGTGTGTGTGTGTGTGTTGTTTGTTTGTTTGTTTGTTTTTAAAATATATGTTTAAAGTAAACTGTTTTAAAATATTTAACTTTGCTGAGTTTGTAATATCACATTCCAAAAGATTTTAAAATTTATATTTTGAATAGAATTTAAAGTTGAATATATCCCTGGATTAAAAGCAATTTATTTATTGTTTATCATCAAACTTTAGCTTTAAGCTATTTGAAAGAAATTTCTAGTATTCTGATTTGTACAATAAACTTTATAATTAAAAAGATTTATAAATTTTGTTTGACATTTTTATATTCAACAAATAAATAATCAAATTATTTTGTTAAATTTAAATTTATTTTTTTCATATTAGAAAAAGCAAAAGGTGGAGCCAATTCTTTATATGACTGAATGGTTTATGTGCTTGTTTTCACGTACTTTACCATGGGCTTCAGTTTTAAGAGTTTGGGATATGTTTTTATGCGAAGGTATGATTCTTTTTTTATTTATTAATCATATAAAAAAGTATTAATTACTGTACTCATCAATAATTTAGTTAAATTATCAGATTTATTATCAGGTTTATTTCATAAAAAGATAGATTAATTTAGATTTTTTTTTTTAATTCTTAACTCAATTATTTTGAAACAAAATTGCAATCTTTGATTCAATAAAACAGTTTTTTTAGTTTATTTATTCTTTTTGTCACTATTGTTTCATAAGTTAAAACTTATTACAATTGAGTTAATGTATCAAAATTTAAGTTGCATCCATTTTATATATAGGATATATTCTTATTTTAGTAAAATGTTTACAATTACTTAAAAATCACACTATTGAAAGAGTCATTACTTGGGGAAAATAACACCTGACCAAAATAACAATAAGGAAATAGAGGCAAGAATCAAAATGGGATGGATTACCTTTGGTAAATTAAGTTACATCTTGAAAAATCAGAACATCTTCACCATTTTCAAAAGAAAAGTTTTTGATCAATGCATTCTACCAAGTATGACTTATGGATCTGAAATCTAGCCTTTGACAACAACCAATATGAGGAAACTTCAGTTGGCTCAGAGAGCAATGGAAAGAATAATACTTGATGTGAGTCAAAAAAACAGTGCAAGAAGTAAGTGGGAATAGGTGGGACACCTGATGTGAAATCATGACAGATGGACCAAAAAGATGACTGAATGACAACGTAGAGATGGAAAGAAACATGGGAAGTTCAAGAGCATGATGTCGGGAAACAATGAACAAGAAAGACCTGGGAGAAGTTGGTGGAAGCCTATGTTCAGCAGTAGATGTCAAAGGGATAGTGATGAAAAGTCACAATATGAATATTATTAAAATTTAAAACTTGAATACATACCAAAAATAAGATACAAAATGAAAGTAAAGAACAAAAGAAAAAAAAATGTAAAAATAACTATTGTAGAAACAAAATGGAAAATAACATTAAAACAAATTGATGTTAAATTTACAGTGCCATTTTATTAAAATTTGCCAATGGGATTTACATATTAAAAGTATATACTTGTATATTGAAGAAACAAATTGTCAACCTAGATCTATCACTCACATTCACTAGAAATTGTCTTCAATTTACGTTGTCTCTATAAATGAAAATTGTCTTTTGTTTGGTGAATATAAATGGCAGATCTAAAAAGACAATTTCTATTTCTTCAATATATACTATACTTTTACAAAGTTGTGATAATTGTTATAATTTTTAAGCATATGTTTTTGTATAAAAAATAAAAATCATTGTTGTATTATATATAAGTTCAGTTTGTTATGAATTTTAATAAGATATTTCTCATTGTTGTTTTCTAATCAGAGTTATGCCCTTTACGTAATTCTGTACATTTAGCATCGTTCAACCTTAATTGATAGTCACTTTTAATTATTAGTGTCTTTTCTTAACGTATTAACTGTTAGTGCTGAAATATTTTTTTCATTTTTCTTAATTGTTTATAATTAGTCTCAACACAGTTAATGTTTGTATTAATTATTTGTGTATTCGTTTTGCATTTGGATGTTATGTCAAAATTCTGACTTGTAACATGCTTTACATAAGTATTCTATTTCTTTACAACTATCTATAATATTGTAAACTTTCTTTTCTAAAATAATCCTTAATGTGTGAATTAATTTAAACTCAGCAAATTGTTAGAATTATTGAATGTCTAAGAATGGTTAAGTTGAAGTCTATGCTGTTTTGATGGAAATGGATTTATTATTTAATGAAACTTTGAATATTGAAAGTTTCTCAGACAGTTTTTCTAGTTTAATCTTATAAATGCAAGTTCTTGTTTAACAATAATGCAATTAACTCATGTTTTTAAAGTATTATTTTGACCAATAGTCATCCAAGAAATAAGCAATTGAAGTTTTCTTCATCCCTATAGTTTGTAGTTTAATTTGTGTATATCTAGTTTATGTTTCAGACTATTAGTAAGTTATTTATATATTGCTTTTTAAATTTTTTAATTTATAATTTGATATTTTTATTAAAAATATTTTAAAAACAGTTACTAATTTCATCATAAAAACTTAACAGTTTTTTTGTTGTTTTAGTTAACAAATATTGCAATAATCAATAATTTATTTTTTATAGGTGTTAAAGTATTATTTCGAACTGCTTTAGTTATTTTGAAGCAAGTTTTAGGACGACAAGAAGTATTAAAAAAATGTCCAACAATGTATGAAACACTTGAAAAATTGAGAAATATTCCAACAGAAGCATTACAAGAAGACTTTTTAGTTTATCAGGTTAGTTTACTAGAATTCTGAACTTCAATGAATTGAAGAAATTAGTTTAAATTAAATTGATCAGAATAAATAAAGTGGAAGAATCAGAAAAGATTTGCTTCAAGCATCGCATCATATAAATTTAATTAAGAAATAAAGTTGTGTATGATCATTATATCAATTATCTATTTCTTAGATTTAATTTCTTTGAGTTTTATGTTGTTAGTTTTTATACTGAAATATAACACTTGTTAATTACTCTAGCATTTTGCAATATATATAAAATACTTTTAATTTTTTTTGCATTGCTCAGTAAAATGATTTCTAAGTTAACATTAACACAGCTTTAAATTTAATATCTCAAAATTTTATTATTTGATATTTTATACAGGGTGATTCACTGGTGGCATTCTTTAGTTTCTTATTGGAAACCATTAGAGATAGGAAGACAGGACTAATAACTGAGTTTATAGAGCAGATGGGAACAGTTCTTTATGACCTTGAGAATCAGTAGTTTTTGAGATGCAAAACAAAATAGGGTTTTTTTAAATTACATGGGTGCTTTTGAGCCATTATATGGATAGTATGTGACAAAATAAACATCTTTTTATAACAGGGCACATTTTCTTAAACTTAATGGTGTTCCATATATCAGCCAATTTCTTCTGTTGGGTTGTTCGGAAAGTAATTTTTGTTTTTTTACCACTAGACGGATTAGTCGTATTTTCCCTGCCATTTTCATTCTAAACCATATTATCATTATATATTTTGACAGCTAGCATTTTAAGGCTTATTTGTAAAAAATTTTGTTTGATTTTGTGCAATTGTTTATTTTTTCTGTCCCATCAAATATGGAAGATCAAAGCAGCATTTTTGGCATATTTTGTTCTTTTATTACCGAAAAGGCAACAATGTTATTCAGGCGAGAAAAAAATTGTGACGTGTATGGAGAAGATATATTGACAGAACGACAGTGCCAAAACTGGTTTACAAAATTTCGTTCTGGCAATTTCAATATTGAAGATGTGTACCACATTCTGGATGGCCAGTTGAAGCCAATGAAAACAAAATAAAGATACTGATTGAAGCAAACTGCTGAATAACAACACGTGAAATCACTAAGAGATTAAATTTGTCAAATTGAACTGTTTATGTTACTTGAAACAAATTGGTTTCATTTCAAAGCTTGATATATGGGTTCCACATGTTCTTAGAGAGATGCTCTCTTTGGTGGGATTTTAGGGAAATTGTTTTTTACCAGACAATTTAACAATTGATTCAAAAGTGTACTGCCATCGAGTAAACAAATTGAGTAATATCATCAAACAGAAAAGGCAGCAAGAATTGATCAACAAAACAGGTGTAGTGTTTTACCACGATAATGTCATATTTNTGTAGAAAGGAACTTAATTGAGGTTATAGGTAAAAACTGGTAAGAAAACTGGTGTTATAAGGAGAAGCACATAAAATGGTGCAGTAGGGAGAAGTACACAGAACCAAATGGTGCTACAAGAGAAAACGTAACCCTTTAAACCAAGCACAACCAAATACTATTATGTGAGGAATTAGACCAAACTTTGCCTCCTTCCTAGAACAAGTTAGTGTTGTCATACAGAACAATATTATTCCTATTGTAACTGCTGTAGAGAAGTCTTGTAATGGCACCCTGCAATGATATTCAGCATTGAAACAGAAACTGATATTTATAATGCTTCTCCTACGAGTTACACAGGAAGTTACATTTAATAAATACCTTAAACAATATTTTTCATTTATTTATTAAATTAAATCGAATTTTTCTCAATATTTTTTTTTTCTAAAAATAACAACATTGAAAACTGTTCCTGCATCTGTTTTATATATCATATACCACTTTCCATCATCGAAAAGTCATTAATATGAAGTTCTTTATGATGTTGGATCCATAAGCAACTTTTAATCGCATCTAGAACCATCACATATGCTCCCCATTCTGTAGCTTGATATAAAGCATCAATGACTGTAACGTCTTACGATCCAAAACTTGTCATCCATCAACTCATAAGACGTACAGTTTGCAAAGGAGAAGCATTAAAAGTTGCCGAAGATCCCTTCCCTATCACTATCGCATGTGGCAATTAATCCATCATCGTACCATGAGCAACCCATCAAGAAATATTTATTTTCCTTCATCAAATTGCTTACTAATTGTTACAAAATTAACGTATTAACTGATATTTCTAAAGGAAAATATATAAATTAGCAAAAGATTTTCATCCGGATCAATGAACCAGAAGAAAATTCTGCAAGGCAAAAAGAGATGTTTTCAACTTAAGCTGATTACTCCTGTTTTCTATTTTCTTTAAATCTCTTGTCCGAAATTTTCTGGTGACAATAAAATACGATTTATAATCACTACAAATCCGGATAACGTCACTAATCCAGCGATAAGTTTGAAAGGAACAAAAAGAATTCTTCTTCCTCCTTCTCCAATTCCAAAAAAAAAAACACGAAAATCTAATTAACTTTGTAGACTGGAAAATTTCGTAAAAAATTCTGTTTTAGTACAGAATTAAAGGATTTAACAGTTAAATAATTCTAATACTTTAAGTTAAGTAGCAAAAAAAAAGAAATATTTCTAAGAAAAATGCGAATTTCTGAACATCTTTCAAACCGGGCACGCGTTGTCCAAACAGTTTTGTACGTTGGTCGAAGCGTGTCGATTAATAAATCAATTTTCGATAATGCACACCAACTCAGTTTTCAATAATACATTAAATTACTTAGCAGCTGATGTCTCACTCCCCCCATTTAGAAGAGAGAAGCATTAGTAATAATTAGATAAAACTAAGCTGCTACCGGCTTAACTTGAGCCGGATTTGGGCGGAGAAGGTTAAAGTTCGCTAGTAGAGATTCAATTTTCGATGTAGTCACACTTGTTATAAAGATTTATCACGTTCAATATCAAAAATCCGAGTGACGAAAGTGATGGATTAGTTATAAATTGATTTTTCCTTGCTCCAACGATGCTGCTTATAACTGTATCAAGAGTAATATTGGGCGGAGCAACAGGAGAATTTTCTGCACTTTAATATCGATTTTTATGTAGAAAAATAACGTATTTTTAATAATAAAAAAATAAAAAATAAATTCGAGAAAAATTTATCAATTTTCCTGAATGCTTCCCTCTACTCCAGGATGAAGAATGGTAATTTTAATTAGTAAGAGAGCGAACTTAGAAAAATTCTTAAGCCAAAATATTTAGTTTTAACATCAAGAAAAGAAACAAAATTTAATTACTAAGAATTCCTACGAATGCTTTAAATAAAAATTTTGTTATTACAGAAGTTTCTATGGAATTAAAAAAAAAACAAGTTTTGTTACAATTTCCACAATTTTGTATCACTGTAAACATGTGGATGGAGTTGGAGTTTATTATTAATCGAGCCGCTTTGTACGTCTCCATGGTGACGTACAGTTGTCAAATGTGGGTAGTAAGAGAGGTAGAAAGGTGAGTGAGAAGATCTGATCAACATCTTTCTACTCAACCTGTTACAATTTCGTAAAAACTAAGCTTAAATATGCTCTCACGAATCAATTTTATGAAAGAACCCTCCCCCCTTTAGAACGTAACAGAAACAAGCAATTTCTGACAGAAAACTATATATTTTTCAGTTTCTAACAACCAATATTGGTGAAGATGAATAGAAAAGACTTCAAAATTGAATTTTTTATTTTTTATTTTTTTATTTTTTCTCTTCTATCACGATATAGCACCTCCAACAACCATCCTATTACGTAAGGTGTTGGACAGTATGAGGATGCAGCAGCTGTGATTCGCAGCTGTTATAAAGACGACGACTTGGCCAAAAACTGACTGGTTCCCAAGGCACCCTGTATATGTCATCAACATCTGTGTAGGTATCATTGTCGTGTGGCACACTACTGATCGATCGATCGCCTGTGATTTATTACGCTTTGCATTGCTGCTGAACATACTTTTATTCAACGTTAAACTCTTAAGTTTTAACCAAATTTTTAACCCGATATTTTATCTATGATGTCAAAAACTTACATCACAAGATTTTTTGGCATTTCACTACAACAGAATACTTAGAATTGTTTGCGAAAATCGACTAATGCCTTAGGCAGCGGATTTTTTTCATCACGCTATCTAACCTTCAAAGTAAAATTTACACAACAGAGAGACCATTCAAGGAAGTACCTTCTATTTATAGACAAGACAGCTCACCTACTATCAGACCTCATAAATCCAGCAGTTTATATCTTATTCATCAATTTAGCTCTAAATTCAATATATATATATATATATATTTTTTTTTTAAAGCTTCTATTTACGAAGCTGTGCATCAATTGATCAAGAGAGGAGCAATTTCATAAACACTACAGTAATAAACCCTTATATGAGGATGTTTTTCTTTAATTTTCCTATATAAATAAAGAATTTATAATTATATTTAACCTGTTTTACATGATAATTTTATTATAATTAACCTTAAACTATAGGGATTATAAGAGGCAGCGAGGTTTATCTGCATATTCCATAGAGGAGTGCATTAAAAAAAGTTATGCTGTGCACTAAACTATAAAGGAGCCGATCACGTGAGTGTACCTCGACACCAGGGACGGAGGATGACGTATATATATTGTAATTTTGGGGGAACAGGAACGATCCAGGTGGCACATCGGTTGCTTAATTTGTTTTTTCAATTTGTTCCCTCTGCACGTCACCTGTCAATCAAAATTTAAATCTCTGGATAGAAAAATGATCGAGTTAATCCTTAGACGTGGAGTAGAGACTTTAATTTTATAAATAAATTATAAAAAAAAAATTAATTTTCTAGCAAAATTGAGAAGTTAGCACTTAAAGTTCAAGGAGGAGAATTTTCTTTATGAAGGTTGTTTCATGGACGATCGAAGCTGTGAACACATCAAAAAAACTCCACGATTTGTTTTTCTGCCTCATTAGTTTTATAAAAAAAAACAAGAAAAGTTGTGACAAGTGACAATGTCGCAACATGCACTTAGCAAAGGACCCAGGTGGTGGTGTTGCACAGTGTGAAGAATCAATCAGCTGTTTATGAAATCCTTACAGGGACATTTGGGCAGCTGTTTATATGAGAAGTAGCAGTCTACATACTGCAGATGCTATTTCTCATCCCTCTGACGTCATAATATTAGATATTTAAATCTTGAAACATGATTTCAAAACATTTTTGAATGTTCACACTTTAGTCTTCTAACGGAAGATAAATTCAGTGTTATCTTAAATCAGTTTATAACTTAATTTTAAACTAATTTTGATAAATTATCTCAAAAAAAGTTTTAATTTCTGTATTTAACTGTTTGAATGTTTTTATGATAAATTTTAAAAATTGTTTGTTAATAAAAATTTAATTTGAATTCTTTTAGGGTTTAAAGTTAAATATTTCTGAAGGTGATATGGAAAAAGAGCATCAAAAACAAGTCGTAAAACGGAGAACATTGAGAGAACAACAACAGATAATTCAGGAACAACGAACCAAGAATTCAACTGGGAAGGAAAAGATTTCCTGATGACTTAACTAAAATGATGTTGCCATAGAAAATTATGTATAAATATTTTGAATTTTTAGCATTTCTGATAAAAAATGGATATGCCTATATTGTTTTATAGTATGGTTTAGAAAAACCAAATCATATTATTAATGTATCTACTTCAAAAGCAATACTGTCCAAATATTTTGCTAACTTAGAGAAAATTGTAGAATTTTATAATGAGTAGAGCAAAAAAGCACTAATATATATATATATTCTTAAATCTTATACACAAAACAACTTATACTCAAAACACAATACAACAAATGAATAATTGCATATAGAGTTATTAACAGTTTGAAATTTTCTGATATAAAAATCAATTTTATGATGGATGTTTGTGTTATTCCACAAGTTAATATTTCATTTTATGAACTGAAATCAAATTTTGAGAAATGAGTGAAAAAATTTGAAAAATTTTCATATAAGCATTGAGTAATAAATAGCCAAAATAAATGCAGAAAAACAACTGCATTTCTGATTGGTGGAATTAATGTTCTGCTTTTTAAAGGTACCAAAATTTCTTATAAAATACATGTAATTAATATTGCAATTATAAATCTGTGAAAATTATTTATTAAAAATTAATATTTATTACAAAATTTATTTTCTTAAAAGTTCATAAATGTCATTTTGAAAATTTTCAAAAACATTAAATTTGAGGGAACAAAGCAGCTACTGTATTAATGAAGTGTTCTTATGTTTTTTTTTGTGATTTTGATTTTTATATTTCAAGTATTTTTTATTATCAAAAAAAACAGATTGTATATATCATATGTAGATTTTACAAAGTGCAGCTGAATGTTCATTGTATAAAGTATATATGTTCATGATAAAACTTTCAATGAACATATTCATTCTGTTACTTATTGAGCCATAATGTTTATGGTAAGAAAGTTCATTTGGATTATGATAAGAATTGACATATCCTGATAAAAGTTATGGTACATTTATATGCCAATAATATTTGTAATATATTTTTATCTGTCAAATGTTTCAAATTAAGTTGTACATTTAAATTATGTACTTTTCTACATTATTATAAAGCCTATGTGGGTCCAGAATAAACTGTATTTATTTTCATTTTAATTTCTTATGAATTTATAATTAAATTTCTTAAAAGAAATTTAGTATATAAAAAGTAATGAAAGTAATTCAGTACTGCAGGGCATCCAAAAGAGAACTGACGAGCTATGAAAAGTGTTGTGTATTTAAGGAAAACAGATCAAAGAGAACACATTTTTCGGTAATCATCAGCAAAATATTTTTCTACATTATGAAAGCACAGGGTGTTAATCATTGCAGGTAGAACTTTTGAAGGAAATCTTTCCTAATGATGGATGGGTAAGATGAACCAATTTGGTTTCCATCATAACTCCTGACGTAATTCCACAAGAAAAAGTCCAAAAGTATTATATGAAGGATGTGATTTATTAAACACTTGTTACCAGATATTGAAAAATTAAAAGGTCACATAAGTGCAGTAAGAATTGTCACTCAAGCTGTTACATAACATCTGGAGAGAGATTTTAATATATTGATACTGTGTGAGTAATGAATGATGCACACATTGCAATTTCTTAAAGATGAGAAATCTTGAGTTTGCTCACTAATTAGGACAACTGTGTGGTTGTATCTATTTTCCTAAAATAAACGAGTTTCTCTAGTCAGTTTTTCCCTCCCCTCCACCTGTGCATTTTCATAATAAGTTATATTTTCTAAAATCAGTGACAAGGAAAATATTATTACTCTAAATGGAAGTTTGCAATTACTATATTTTTGAAGCAATTTAGAATTTTATATTTTGTAAAACTAATTTATTCAAAATCTATAATATATAATTCAGTGAATATTGCATTGATAATGTTTAATTCATGTTGTATATGAATTTACAGTTCTATTTTTCACATTTTTGAAAATTTANTAAAAAAGTATTAATTACTGTACTCATCAATAATTTAGTTAAATTATCAGATTTACTATCAGGTTTATTTCATAAAAAGATAGATTAATTTAGATTTTTTTTTTAATTCTTAACTCAATTATTTTGAAACAAAATTGCAATCTTTGATTCAATAAAACAGTTTTTTTAGTTTATTTATTCTTTTTGTCACTATTGTTTCATAAGTTAAAACTTATTACAATTGAGTTAATGTATCAAAATTTAAGTTGCATCCATTTTATATATAGGATATATTCTTATTTTAGTAAAATGTTTACAATTACTTAAAAATCACACTATTGAAAGAGTCATTACTTGGGGAAAATAACACCTGACCAAAATAACAATAAGGAAATAGAGGCAAGAATCAAAATGGGATGGATTACCTTTGGTAAATTAAGTTACATCTTGAAAAATCAGAACATCTTCACCATTTTCAAAAGAAAAGTTTTTGATCAATGCATTCTACCAAGTATGACTTATGGATCTGAAATCTAGCCTTTGACAACAACCAATATGAGGAAACTTCAGTTGGCTCAGAGAGCAATGGAAAGAATAATACTTGATGTGAGTCAAAAAAACAGTGCAAGAAGTAAGTGGGAATAGGTGGGACACCTGATGTGAAATCATGACAGATGGACCAAAAAGATGACTGAATGACAACGTAGAGATGGAAAGAAACATGGGAAGTTCAAGAGCATGATGTCGGGAAACAATGAACAAGAAAGACCTGGGAGAAGTTGGTGGAAGCCTATGTTCAGCAGTAGATGTCAAAGGGATAGTGATGAAAAGTCACAATATGAATATTATTAAAATTTAAAACTTGAATACATACCAAAAATAAGATACAAAATGAAAGTAAAGAACAAAAGAAAAAAAAATGTAAAAATAACTATTGTAGAAACAAAATGGAAAATAACATTAAAACAAATTGATGTTAAATTTACAGTGCCATTTTATTAAAATTTGCCAATGGGATTTACATATTAAAAGTATATACTTGTATATTGAAGAAACAAATTGTCAACCTAGATCTATCACTCACATTCACTAGAAATTGTCTTCAATTTACGTTGTCTCTATAAATGAAAATTGTCTTTTGTTTGGTGAATATAAATGGCAGATCTAAAAAGACAATTTCTATTTCTTCAATATATACTATACTTTTACAAAGTTGTGATAATTGTTATAATTTTTAAGCATATGTTTTTGTATAAAAAATAAAAATCATTGTTGTATTATATATAAGTTCAGTTTGTTATGAATTTTAATAAGATATTTCTCATTGTTGTTTTCTAATCAGAGTTATGCCCTTTACGTAATTCTGTACATTTAGCATCGTTCAACCTTAATTGATAGTCACTTTTAATTATTAGTGTCTTTTCTTAACGTATTAACTGTTAGTGCTGAAATATTTTTTTCATTTTTCTTAATTGTTTATAATTAGTCTCAACACAGTTAATGTTTGTATTAATTATTTGTGTATTCGTTTTGCATTTGGATGTTATGTCAAAATTCTGACTTGTAACATGCTTTACATAAGTATTCTATTTCTTTACAACTATCTATAATATTGTAAACTTTCTTTTCTAAAATAATCCTTAATGTGTGAATTAATTTAAACTCAGCAAATTGTTAGAATTATTGAATGTCTAAGAATGGTTAAGTTGAAGTCTATGCTGTTTTGATGGAAATGGATTTATTATTTAATGAAACTTTGAATATTGAAAGTTTCTCAGACAGTTTTTCTAGTTTAATCTTATAAATGCAAGTTCTTGTTTAACAATAATGCAATTAACTCATGTTTTTAAAGTATTATTTTGACCAATAGTCATCCAAGAAATAAGCAATTGAAGTTTTCTTCATCCCTATAGTTTGTAGTTTAATTTGTGTATATCTAGTTTATGTTTCAGACTATTAGTAAGTTATTTATATATTGCTTTTTAAATTTTTTAATTTATAATTTGATATTTTTATTAAAAATATTTTAAAAACAGTTACTAATTTCATCATAAAAACTTAACAGTTTTTTTGTTGTTTTAGTTAACAAATATTGCAATAATCAATAATTTATTTTTTATAGGTGTTAAAGTATTATTTCGAACTGCTTTAGTTATTTTGAAGCAAGTTTTAGGACGACAAGAAGTATTAAAAAAATGTCCAACAATGTATGAAACACTTGAAAAATTGAGAAATATTCCAACAGAAGCATTACAAGAAGACTTTTTAGTTTATCAGGTTAGTTTACTAGAATTCTGAACTTCAATGAATTGAAGAAATTAGTTTAAATTAAATTGATCAGAATAAATAAAGTGGAAGAATCAGAAAAGATTTGCTTCAAGCATCGCATCATATAAATTTAATTAAGAAATAAAGTTGTGTATGATCATTATATCAATTATCTATTTCTTAGATTTAATTTCTTTGAGTTTTATGTTGTTAGTTTTTATACTGAAATATAACACTTGTTAATTACTCTAGCATTTTGCAATATATATAAAATACTTTTAATTTTTTTTGCATTGCTCAGTAAAATGATTTCTAAGTTAACATTAACACAGCTTTAAATTTAATATCTCAAAATTTTATTATTTGATATTTTATACAGGGTGATTCACTGGTGGCATTCTTTAGTTTCTTATTGGAAACCATTAGAGATAGGAAGACAGGACTAATAACTGAGTTTATAGAGCAGATGGGAACAGTTCTTTATGACCTTGAGAATCAGTAGTTTTTGAGATGCAAAACAAAATAGGGTTTTTTTAAATTACATGGGTGCTTTTGAGCCATTATATGGATAGTATGTGACAAAATAAACATCTTTTTATAACAGGGCACATTTTCTTAAACTTAATGGTGTTCCATATATCAGCCAATTTCTTCTGTTGGGTTGTTCGGAAAGTAATTTTTGTTTTTTTACCACTAGACGGATTAGTCGTATTTTCCCTGCCATTTTCATTCTAAACCATATTATCATTATATATTTTGACAGCTAGCATTTTAAGGCTTATTTGTAAAAAATTTTGTTTGATTTTGTGCAATTGTTTATTTTTTCTGTCCCATCAAATATGGAAGATCAAAGCAGCATTTTTGGCATATTTTGTTCTTTTATTACCGAAAAGGCAACAATGTTATTCAGGCGAGAAAAAAATTGTGACGTGTATGGAGAAGATATATTGACAGAACGACAGTGCCAAAACTGGTTTACAAAATTTCGTTCTGGCAATTTCAATATTGAAGATGTGTACCACATTCTGGATGGCCAGTTGAAGCCAATGAAAACAAAATAAAGGTACTGATTGAAGCAAACTGCTGAATAACAACACGTGAAATCACTAAGAGATTAAATTTGTCAAATTGAACTGTTTATGTTACTTGAAACAAATTGGTTTCATTTCAAAGCTTGATATATGGGTTCCACATGTTCTTAGAGAGATGCTCTCTTTGGTGGGATTTTAGGGAAATTGTTTTTTACCAGACAATTTAACAATTGATTCAAAAGTGTACTGCCATCGAGTAAACAAATTGAGTAATATCATCAAACAGAAAAGGCAGCCAGAATTGATCAACAAAACAGGTGTAGTGTTTTACCANACTGTCATCCTGTCAATACATCTTCTCCATACATGTCACACAAATTTTTTCTCGCTTGAACAGCATTCTTACCTTTTTGGTAATAAAAGAGCAAAATATGCTGAAAATACTGCTTTTGATCTTCCATATTTGATGGGACACAAAAAATAAACAATTGCACAAAATCAAACAAAATTTTTTACAAATAAGCCTTAAAATGCTAGCTGTCAAAATATATAATGATAATACGGTTTAGAATGAAAATGGCGGGGAAAATATGACTAATCTGTCTAGTGTAAAAACAAAAAAAAAACAAAATTACTTTTCAAACAGCCCAATAAAAATCTGATTTCTCTTTTCTCAAAAGTTTCTATGCTAGGAACTAAGTTTATCAATTTTCATCTATCTTATTGTATTAGATAGTTAAACAAGCAAACTTTGAATAAATTGAATTGAAACTTTTTGAAAGGGGTGAAGGAGTATCTTTTTTGGATTAATCTTCATATTTATGTATTTACTTGTTTTTCACACCTTTTTGGTAAAAAGGCATTATTCAAGTGAAGACATATTTGAT